GTAGTACATGACAAAAAGGCAGATTTTCCAATCATTTAAGGAATTAGGTATTTTTAGTGGACGTTTGGAAAAGTCTCTCAGCTTGAAAGAAGTTAATTATAATAAAATACACTGAAATTAAATTGTATTTTCTCGAAATATCTATCAATTTAATCTGTCGGGACATTTTTTGACTAAAATACTGTTTTCTAGTTAATAGTACATTGTACACAGCTGAAATTTTTACCATATATCCACCATAGAGTTAGTTAAAAAAGATACAAAAATCATGATTCAATCTCTTTTCATTACCGAGAAATCAAAAAAACAAAACTGAAAATCTGTCGGAACATTTAGTGGAAAAACAGCACCTCTGTCTCCTTATTTTCACTTTTTTATTTGATCCAGAGATCTCTTGGAAAAAAGTTTTTCATTAAAAGATTTCTCGCACTTCAGTCTATCAAACAAACAAAAAAAGATTCGAGTTTGCTTTGAAATCAGCTCTAGTAGGTTAAAATAAATCTGTCGGGACATAAAACAATAAAAGTGTACGTTTAGATAGTTTTTGAAAAATTTGATCAATGAATCGAGATCGAAGCGGCCATCAACTGATACCGTTAGAAAGAGGAAAGTCTTGGCTACAAAACGGTTGTAAAAGACTACTTTGATCCAATCAAAATTGTAGAACGAGAAGGTCATTTTTGATGATAGATGTCGCCAAAAAGCACTAAATTTGACCTTTCGTGTTCTACAGCGCCAATAATACAGCCACCAAAGAGCTTGATATTTTCACGGTAAGTAGGATAGATTCCGAGGAATATTTCAAAAAAAATGTCCAAATTTGTTGAGTAGAACTTGAGATATAAGTGTTTTAATGATGGGGACACAACCGTACAATACAAGCGCAATTCACTCGTATATATATCTCCGGAAAAAAATAGTTGGATTCTGTATTTTAAATATATTTTCACTATGAAGCCATATTCGTTTAAAAGTAATTACATATTCTGAAAGCCCATGGAGTTATCTATCACCCTGTATAATTGGGTTTTAGTTTTGACCTATTCATTAACAAAATAAATTGAGTGTAACGAAGACATCCTCATGTTCAGATTCTCAAAAAACAATTCTTTTCTCACTGTCATGAAAATTAGTTTTTAAACCTTTTAATCATGAGAGTAGTATCTTTTTAAAAAAGTAATTATATATTCTGATAGAGCTTGAAGTTTTCTATCCCTCTGCATATTTATTTATTTTCTTATATTCATTTATTGAAAAGAAAATTTGAGTACAACGAAAAAATCCTCAATCGACAAGTATCAAAAATCCACATTTTTTCGCTGATTGTTTTTTTGAATTATTATTGCCAAAGAAATAAATTATATAAAAGAAATGATAACATTGATAGTGCATGAAATTCTCTATCATTCTATGTATGACATAAACATATAAACGGTCAAGTGTCTGTCCACGTAACCATCCACATGACTATCCACCTGACTGTCCATTGTCCAGTCTTTCGTGTACATTCTAGAGCTTTTTATGGTTCTCACTATCTCTCTCTTATGTTCTGGGATGTTCCATTTTCGATACTATATACAGGGTGTTCCAAAAGTAGTGAACTGCATCGTGGACATTTTTCATTCCAACTCCAACTCCAATTCCAAAAAAAACATTTTTCTAAACTCCAACTCCAGCTCCAACTCCATAAAAAGAAAAATCGGAACTCCAGCTGAAACTCCAGAAAACTCCAATTTTTTTTTCTATATGTTATTGACATCTTGATGATTCTCGAGTTTGGAACGGCTTATCATAAGATGAATTAATGAACGGATCAAATTTGTCTATCTTTCATTCATAGGCCCCAAACAGACTGACTTAATTCAAAGTGAATTAACCAATATAATTGCCTTTGTTACGTAGAAACACCAATCACATCTCTTAATTCAGCTTTAATTTTTCAGTCTGTTTGACCCCATACTCATATATATATATATATAGAATTTACTTTCTTTTTCTACTGGTTTACCAACAGGTAGAATGTCTGCTAAAATTTTAACAAAAAAAGAACTCGAAAAACTAATAAATGAGGGTGATAAATCAGTGAAATTTGTACAAAAAAAGACAAAGTCAAATTCAAGTGAATGGTGGCAATTTTATCATAGTATTTTTGTGAACGATCACCAGCAAGAATTTGTATCTTGCAATACATGTAAAACTTTATTATTTGTTACATCTACAAGCGGTACGAATACTTTAAAATGTCATTTCAATTCATGTGTGCAACAAAAAGATAAATCAATGGGTTGTCATCAACAAACAGTGCGTGATTTTTATTCTTCGTCAAAAACAACACCAATTCCCAGCAAATTGAAATTACGTGTTACACAAGCATGCACAGAATTTTGTGCAGTTGATGGTCGAGCATTCGATGTTATAACAGATGATGGTTTTCAAAATCTTGCAAAAGTTTTATTTGATGCCGGTCGTTCATTATATAAATCTTCAATTGAAATAAAAGAACTTCTTCCACATTCAACAACAGTAAGAAAAAAACATTGAAATGAACTAATCATATTATTCCGTTTTATTTTCTTAGGTTAGTCGAAATGTTACTCGTCTTTATGAAGAATATAAATTGCATTTGGTGAACATATGTGAACAACTCAACAGTTTTTGTTTAGTGGTTGATCAATGGAAAGAAAGTTATACCGGTAAGATTATTAAATATTGTATCTATTCATAAAGAAACTGACAACTATTTCACTATTTTTTCTGCGTTTGTTTAGGTATTAGCTATTGTGGTATTGCTCTTCGATATGTCGATGATAATTATAAATTATTTACTTTTATACTTGGTTGCTTTCCATATGATGCAGACAATCATTCAGCACCACATCTTCGAGAATTTATTATTAAAAAATTAGAAGAATTTAAATTAAAATTAGATTTAAGTAAATATGTAGTTAGTGATAATGAGCCGAAAATGCTTGCAACATTTCGTGGTTATTGTATTCGTGTGGGATGTGCGGATCATTATCTCAACAAACAACTTCAACATGCTTTTGAATCAGAACAATTACATGTTAATAAAAATGTTGTTGAAAAAGTCGATTGTGATATTGTTCAAAATATGTTTAATCAAATTAAAAAAGTTGTTTGTCATATACGACGTTCACACCAACAACAAACTTTATCTAAAAAAGTTGTCTCTTACAGTGACACTCGTTTTAATGGTGCTTTAATGATGATGGATAATTTTGCAGGACTTTTTTTTGAATTACCATCAGCTTTAGTTAATAGCAATTTTATGATGAATTACAATTTGATTGAGAAAGATTTACTCGATTGTGTTTGTAAGTTTCTCGAACCATTTGAAGAAGTGATCGTGAATCTGAGTGAGGAACAACGTCCTACACTTCATAAAGTGATACCGCTCAGACAAACTTTAATAAATTCGTGTGTAGTGGAAGCAAATGATTCTAATGGTATCATTCAACTCAAGGTATTTTTAGGTGAGAAAATATAAAATTAAATGCTTCCTGAACTTGTGTATTGAACACATTTAAACTTTCTTTAGTACGTTCTATCTTTTTATGCATTTTTATTTATATAATTTTAGCTCGTCGTTTAAATAATGCTTGGCCAATAACAGATGAACACCGATTGGCAACCATTTTGCATCCCAAATTTAAAAAGTTCGAATGTTCTCCTAATGAAAAGGAAAAATCTATTAATGTATTAAAATCACAATTTCAAAAGCATCAAACAATCATTTCTCCATCTTGTACAAATTCATTAGTCTCGAAGCATTTTGTTGTTCAATCTTCTTCATCAAATACAACACCAAAACCAAATAATCTTCTATCCCAATGTTTTGATGCGAAAGTTAAAGTAGTTGATGAAAGATTAAATCCATTACAAGAAATTGATGATTACTTAAATTTTGAATTTGATGAAAGTTATTATATTTCTGACAACAGTGGTGATATTGATATATTATTATTCTGGAAAAAACAACAACATTTATTTCCAATTTTGTCATCATTAGCTAAAGTAATATTTGCAATACCAGCATCCAATACTATCATTGAACGACTCTTCTCATCATCAAAAAATGTTGTGACTGAAAAGAGAACACGTTTGAGTGCTAGCAAGATAAACGAATTGTTGTTTTTACAAAAGAATTTAAATACCCTAAAAGAACTTATCAACAATAATAATCGAAAACGAACATTATCCATGTCATCAACAACCACAGCATCTTCTGATGAATCTTCTTACACCACAGCTAAGCAACAACGACTTGATACTGATGAAAGTTTAAACGATTTCGACAATATGGAAGTTTTTTTGGATTAGTTGATCTACTATTTTTCTGCTATGTAGTAAACTACGATTGTTACAGCTTGTAATTTATGAAGTTTCGATAGTAAATTTACGTTTGTTATTTAATTTATGAAATAAAATTGCTAATCTATAAAAGAAAACGTACTTGTCTTTTTTACTGATACAACTCCAAAATTAACTCCAAAAAAATTTCTAATTTTCTTTCCAACTCCAACTCCACAAATTTTCGATTTTGGAANATCTGTCGGGACATAAAACAATAAAAGTGTACGTTTAGATAGTTTTTGAAAAATTTGATCAATGAATCGAGATCCAAGCGACCATCAACTGATACCGTTAGAAAGAGGAAAGTCTTAGCTACAAAACGGTTGTAAAAGACTATTTTGATCCAATCAAAATTGTAGAACGAGAAGGTCATTTTTGATGATAGATGTCGCCAAAAAGCACTAAATTTGACCTTCGTGTTCGACAGCGCCAATAATACAGCCACCAAAGAGCTTGATATTTTCACGGTAAGTAGGATAGACTCTGAGGAATATTTCAAAAAAAAATTGTCCAAATTCGTTGAGTACAGCTTGAGATATAAGTGCTTTAATGATGGGGACACAACCGTACAACACGAGCGCAATTCACTCATATATATACCTCCGGAAAAAAATAGCTGGATTCTGTATTTTGAATATATTTTCACTATGAAGTCATATTTGTTTAAAAGTAATTACATATTTTGAAAGCCCATGGAGTTCTCTATCATCCTGTATAATTGGGTTTTAGTTTTGACCTATTCATTAACAAAATAAATTAAGTGTAACGAAGACATCCTCATGTCCTGATTGCCAAAAAACAAAATTTTCTCACTGTCATGAAAATTAGTTTTTAAGCTTTTTAATCATGAGAGTAGTATCTTTTTAAAAAAGTGATTATATATTCTGATAGAGCTTGAAATTTTCTATCACTCTCTATATTTATTTATTTTCTTATATTCATTTATTGAAAAGAAAATTTGAGTACAATGAAAAAATCCTCAATCGATAAGTACCAAAAATCTACATTTTTTCGCTGATTTTTTTTTTGAATTATTGTTGCCAAAGAAATAAATTATATAAAAGAAATTATACCAATGATAGCGCATGAAATTCTCTATCATTCTATGTATGATATAAACATATAAACGGTCAAGTGTCTGTCCACGTAACCATCCACATGACTATCCACCTGACTGTCCATTGTCCAGTCTTTTGTGTACATTCTAGAACATTTTATGGTTCTCACTATCTCTCTCTTATGTTCTGGGATGTTCCATTTTCGATACTATATACAGGGTGTCCCAAAAGTCACTATACAAAAAGAAAAAATTGAATATCTCCATTGCTGCTCGAGCAGACGAAGTGATTCTTGTATTAATGATAGAGACATGTGCCAAGTTTATATTCGTAAAGACATACCTAGAGGTATCCTTTGTTAAGTATCAATATTGACCTCAACGAAAAAATTTTACTTTTGCACATATAGATAACAAAACAAGGTATTCCACAAAGGGCCTCTCTAGGCATGTCTTTATCAATATAAAATTTCAACATGCCTCCATAATCAATAAAAAAATCAGCTCGTTTGTTCGAGCCGTAGTGGAGATATTCAATCTTTTTTCAGCAAAGTGACTTTGCGTCATTCTGTTTATTGTTATTTTACCTGTATGTGAAAAAGTAAATTTTTTTTTGTCGAGGTTAATAGTAATATTTAACAAAGGATCTCTCTAAGTATGTCTTTATGGATATAAACTTTGAACNCATATTCGTTTAAAAGTAATTACATATTCTGAAAGCCCATGGACTTCTCTATCACCCTGTATAATTGGGTTTTAGTTTTGACCTATTCATTAACAAGATAAATTAAGTGTAACGAAGGCATCCTCATGTCCAGATTACCAAAAAAACAAATTTTTTTCTCACTGTCATGAAAATTAGTTTTTAAACTTTTTAATCATGAGAGTAGTATCTTTTTAAAAAAGCAGTTATATATTCTGATAGAGCTTGAAATTTTCTATCACTCTGTATATTTATTTGTTTTCTTATATTCATTTATTGAAAAGAAAATTTGAGTACAATGAAAAAATCCTCAATCGAGAAGTACCAAAAATCTACATTTTTTCGCTGATTTTTTTTTAATTATTTTTGCCAAAGAAATAAATTATATAAAAGAAATTATACCATTGATAGCCCATGAAATTCTCTATCATTCTATGTATGATATAAACGGTCAAGTGTTTATCCACGTAACCATCCACATGACTATCCACCTGATTGTCCATTGTCCAGTCTTTCGTGTACATTCTAGAGCTTTTTATGGTTCTCACTATCTCTCTCTTATGTTCTGGGATGTTCCATTTTCGACACTATATACAGGGTATTTCAAAATCACTATACAAAAAGAAAAATCTGAATATCTCCATTGCTGCTCGAGCAAACGAACTGATTCTTTTATATATGATAGAGACATGTGCCAAGTTTATATCCGTAAAGACATACCTAGAGATATCGTTTGTTAAGTATCAATATTGACCTCAACAAAAAAATTTTACTTTTGCACATACAGACAACAAAAAACAAAGTATTCAACAAAGGGCCTCTCTAGGCATGTCTTTATCAATATAAAATTTCAACATGCCTCAATTATCAATAAAAAAATCAGCTCGTTTGTTCGAGCCGTAGTGGAGATATTCAATCTTTTTTCAGCAAAGTGACTTTGCGTCATTCTGTATATTGTTATTTTACCTGTATGTGAAAAAGTAAATTTTTTTTTTGTCGAGGTTAATAGTGATATTTAACAAAAGATCTCTCTAGGTATGTCTTTATGGATATAAATTTTAAACATGTCTCTATTATTGATAAAAAAAGTCAGTCCGTTTGCTCGAGCAGCAATGGAGATATTCAAAATTTTTTTTATAGTGACTTTTGGGACATCTTGTATACCAGTTGTTGTCAATGTGTGTCTTTCGTATTGTTTGTCTTTCAATTTCTCAGTTGCTCAGCATACACTTGTACAGCCAGACTGTTAAATTTCATACGTGAATAAACTAATTCTTCTAAGTCTTGGTTTCCGCTCGATATCGCACTTGGTCTGAAGACATGACAGATTTATTAGTAATGAGTGGTCATTTATGTGTTGGCGATCGATGGCGAATTATTTCGTTATGTTTTGATCAAAGTATGACTCCGAATGAAATAGCTTGTATTATTAATTGTTCACGTAAACTGTTCTCAATATTTTACAATTATTTCGTGAAACCAATAATGTTACCGAGCNATGATGATAATGATAATCTCAAGGAGGCTAGCTGCTCTTTTAATTTCCTATTTCCTTTTTGTAATTGTTTATTTGAATTTTGCAATTGATCTTTCTCGAGTTTTAGTTTTGCAGTATTTTGACGTCGACGTTGAAGACCTTCAATCTTTCTAAGATCATTTCTTGATATCGTAGTTGTTGATGCTGATGATACTGTTTCTTGTTGTTTTCTTTTTGCTCGATAGACAACTTTTCTCGATGCTTCCTTTTTTCTAAGCTTCTTATCAAAGTTTCTCGACTGCAAACGTTTTAATTGAATTTTCTGACGATATTTGCGACAATAGACGCCATTGTCACTTTTCTGTTTTCTTCTTGGCATCAATTTGAGAATAGCAATTTAATCTGAAATCAGATGAAATTATAAGTTACTGTTTTTTGGTGTTTAGATCAGTTTTTTATGGATAGTTTAAGTTTTTGTGTTATATACAGGCCTATTGAACGTAGTACATGACAGAAAGGCAGATTTTCCAATCATTTAAGGAATTAGGTAATTTTAGTGGACGTTGGGAAAAGTCTCTCAGCTTGAAAGAAGTTAACGATAATAAAATACAATGAAATTAAATTATATTTTCTCGAAACATCTATCAATTTAATCTGTCGGAACATTTATTGACTAAAATACTGTTTTCTAGTGAATAGTACATTGTACACAGCTGAAATTTTTACCATATATCCACCATAGAGTTAGTTAAAAAAGATACAAAAATCATGATTCAATCTCTTATCATTACCGAGAAATCAAAAAAACAAAACTGAAAATCTGTCGGGACATTTATTAGAAAAACAGCACCTCTGTCTTCTTATTTTCACTTTTTTATTTGATCCAGAGAGCTCTTGGAAAAAAGTTTTTCATTAAAAGATTTCTCGCACTTCAGTCTATCAAACAAACAAAAAAAGATTCGAGTTTGCTTTGAAATCAGCTTTAGTAGGTTAAAATAAATCTGTCGGGACATAAAACAATAAAAGTGTACGTTTAGATAGTTTTTGAAAAATTTGATCAGTGAATCGAGATCGAAGCGGCCATCAACTGATACCGTTAGAAAGAGGAAAGTCTTAGCTACAAAACGGTTGTAAAAGACTATTTTGATTCAATCAAAATTGTAGAACGAGAAGGTCATTTTTGATGATAGATGTCGCCAAAAAGCACTAAATTTGACCTTTCGTGTTCGACAGCGCCAATAATACAGCCACCAAAGAGCTTGATATTTTCACGGTAAGTAGGATAGATTCTGAGGAATATTTCAAAAAAAATTGTCCAAATTCGTTGAGTAGAACTTGAGATATAAGTGTTTTAATGATGGGGACACAACCGTACAATACGAGCGCAATTCACTCAAATGTATACCTCCGAAAAAAAAATAGTTGGATTCTGTATTTTGAATATATTTTCACTACGAAGTCATATTCGTTTAAAAGTAATTACATATTCTGAAAGCCCATGGACTTCTCTATCACTCTGTATAATTGGGTTTTAGTTTTGACCTATTCATTAACAAAATAAATTAAGTGTAACGAAGGCATCCTCATGTCCAGATTACCAAAAAAACAAATTTTTTTCTCACTGTCATGAAAATTAGTTTTTAAACTTTTTAATCATGAGAGTAGTATCTTTTTAAAAAAGTAATTATATATTCTGATAGAGCTTGAAATTTTCTATCACTCTCTATATT